TGGTTTTTAAATTTCTGAAATCGGTTCAGGCGTTTTTGAGGAAACGTCAATGAAAGTTCTAATTTTGACAAATGCTAAAAAAACGATACTAATTTTTGCAAACTTTGACGAATTTTTAAAGCTAAATGAGTTGTCTTAGGGCCATAATATTTTAGTATGATCTAGAAGACTATGGTATCCACCGTCAAAAAAATAATAATAAAAATCGACAAAAAAAAATTTTTTATCACCTTATTACAAGAAAACGGCCCGGCCGATCTTTACCAAAAACTAATCAGCATGATTCCCAAACAATACCTTTCGAATGGTTTTTGAATTTTCAAAAATCGATTCAGAATTGCGGTCTAAAACGTAGACAATTTTTTTTCACTTTTCTGCGATTTATAAAGAAACGGCTTGGCCGATCGTCGCACAGAACTGACAAACGATAGTCCTCATCGTGATACATCGAATGGCTTTTAAATTTTTGAAATCGGTCCAGCCGTTCTTGAGAAAACGATTTACGGCAAAAAATCTGTTCACACACACACACACTTTTTCCAAATTTGGTCTCATTCGATTCAGAATGGTTTGAAACGTCGAGAAAACATAAAATTAGCGAATCGGATTTTTTGATGAAAACATAAACTTCTCCTTCGGAAAGTTAAAAAGTGTTCATTTCATTAGTAAAATTTAGATGTTGCAACCAAAAATTTCGATATTCTGCACAGGTTTATGGTTTTTACCGAAATATTTTGAAAATCGCAAAAAGGCTTGATTTTTAAACAAAAATCAATGTTGCAAGCAAAAATTTTGATGCACAGGTATATGGATTTATCTAAAAACGTAATAATAAACTTATATATTAAAAGTTGTTTTCGATTTAATGAATATTACAATGCAAGCATAAAATAGAATAAAGTGCTCAAAATATATTTAACAACTATTATTTAGAATGATACATAAACATTAACCACTTTATATAAAATTTAAAATATAAAACAATATTTGGTACTTACCTATATCATATTTTTATAAAAAAAAAACACTTCAACTTTAAATCTATCATTTCTGATAAGGAATTTATTATTACGCCAAAGAAACTTGTTCAAGCTAGGCTAAGCAAACAGCTAACTTTAATAATCTTTACGATAAAAATATTCTATCCCTACCCTTTTTTATTCTCCCACTCTTCCACTACCTTGTCATCTCTCTTTATATTTGTCACAGTCAAGTGCGACTTCTGAGTTTTATCCAAACAATAACTTCTACTTCCACAATTTGTTTTTTAACTAATATTTATTTACAGTCAACCACGACCATTTTGTAACTTGCGTCATTTGATTTTTTTCGGAATTATTTTAAGTGTTCAGGTTGAAATGCGCCCTCTACTATTAATTATTTGAACTAATATTTGGCTCTACTCTAGTAATTCAAATTTAATTAACCTGCCATCTGAATTTAATTTTTTGGACTAAAATCTGATAATTTCGAAAAACTTATGCTGGTATTTTTCACCTGCATACATTACTTGTTCTGGGATCGATCCGAAGAACATCCAACTACAATGACGACCACTTAAAACTCTCGGCTATTAGTCTCGGTTTTTTATTGGGAATGCCTCTTGTCTAATTCGAGGTGTTGAGGATTTTTGAAAATAAATCTTAATAAAAAAGTTTTTTGTCTAGTTTAAAGACCTAAATTTATTGAAAACTAAATATCTGTCCTCTCTTTGTCATCTGCTTGTCTTGAACTACAGATCGCAGCCCAACTGACCGCTACTCAACGACCTCGGCCACTGAGCTGTTACTGCAGACAAAAGAAGAGTATATGAAGTATATGGCTGCTACATCGAATCGGTTTCCATATTATAAGTAATTCTACTTTTTGTTTGATATTTTATTTTTCATCCGATCATAACAAACTGTTTATTTTCTCGCAACTCTCCATTCAAGTACACTGAAGGACAAACGATCTGCTTTGGATAACTACATTGAGATCACATCACCAGGATTTGGATTCGAAAATTACTAGAAAAATGTAAAAGCTTCTGGAAAGGTTGCAAAATGATGGCATATGATTCTTCTTATGTACTATGACAGTACGGATTTCGAGCGGGGCGTTTCTGGGGGGAGAATTTCGTCCGTTTCTGCTCAGAACACCTCAAAATGAAGATTTGAAAATTGCACATATATTTGAGGCTGTTTAAATTCTATATAAGTAGATATCAATGACTTTTAATCCTCTCTTAAAGCAATTATAATGGAAATTTAATTTGCATAGCAATTATTGGACAAATAGTATATAAATAGTTTATAAATATAATGAAATTGCTAAAATGCATTCTTTATGCAAACCCTAAATTAATTGGATATTTTTGAAGACTTATAATCTTCTTTTATCTATGATGTCTTCAAACATCAAAATTAAACTTTAAGTTTACATATTTTAAGAATTTTAGCATTTTGTAACTTGTTCACAGATTCAGTATAATATATTATTGTTATTATATGTATTGAATATATATTTGCTTAATATTTAATAATGTATAAACTGATGTTATGCTGATTCAAATATGTACATGTATAAAATAAAATAGATAGATTTGTTTTATTTATTTTTTCTAGATAGATACCTTTGAATATTTTATTTGAAAATAAAACCACAAAGACTTACTTAGTAAAAAATCCGTGGATTTTTCTCCTAATTAATGCATGGACTCCTCAATAAAATTGGTACAGTCATTTCAAAATTTTCGAGGAGTTGTCTGCGCTCGCAACTATCTCTCTATATACTGCCGACACCTTGGCGATGGAATCCCTAAAATACACATGTATTCATCATATCACCACTACATATATATTAAATACACGCACACATACACAATGCATATATCTCTTTCCCTACGACGACATAGACGCTAGCGCTACTCTAAACTCGGTGGCTTCGATGCGAACTAAAATCTCCGCCAAATTCAACCCTGTCCACAATTATATATCGTCCATACAAATTTATAATAGATTTATATATAATTGTGGACTCGTTTCCTAGAATTATATATTGTGTATATATGAAGTACTTTGGGTTGCATATACTAGGCGGTTTGAAGTCAAGTTTATAATGGACTCACGTGGATTATAAGAATCTTATAGGAATTTATATATACAGGAATTTATATATCGCTCATATAATTATAGAGGTGTATACATAGATAAAAGAAGAGTATATATATATATATATATATATATATACAGGGCCGGTCCTGCCTTGCATGCGATCTGCAAAAAATGCAGGCGCACGCCTTAGGGGGCGCCAAAACGAGATTAGGAAATGAAATTTATAATATATTATTCTTATTTTTTTTAATATAAAATCTAGAATACTTAATAGATTATAATAAACAATCTAACTTAACTATATGGATACGTAGAAACAGAACGCATATTCAGTTTGCAATGTGATATATGTAGAAACAATTAATTACTCATGCAAAATAGTAAATTATTGTTCTGCTTATTATTTAATGAACTTATTAAATTTTTCTTCGATCGAAGTTAATATGGAATAGAAAAAGAAATTATCTAGTGTTCAATACCGTAAGCGCAAACCTACGAAAGTTTAATTTAATGGGCATTAAAAATGCCGCATTATTGATGAAAAATTGCGAAGTGATTTAGTTTGAACGGAACTTGTTAAAAAAAAATAGATACAAATTATAATAGAGAAAAATGGAAAATGGGAAGTCAGTGCTTAGAAAATAAGTATATGACCGAGAAACTTAATTGTAACTTCTGTATTTGTTGAAAATGTTTCGCATCTGATTAACTTTGAACTTTGAAGACATGCGTGGTTAGGTTTATGGAAATAGAGCAAATATGAAAAATGGAAACAAAATATACTTAGAAACAAAACTCGTGAGTTTTTTTTATACCTAGTGGTGTCCATACTGAATTTAATTATTAACTAAGTAGAAATCATAGATAAAAGAAGAGTAAGAGAAATAATACAGATACAAATATAATTGTGTTTTGTTTTCGATATATTTCAGGAAATATGTAATTTCTTTGCATCTTTTAAAATACGTTAAAAATTTAACTTTAAAACAACAATCTGATATTCTGAATTAGATGGGCAAATAAACATGAATACAATTTGGCTTTACGCTATCAATAAGTTACTGATGCAATTTTGGATATTGTAAATAATGAAAAAAAATAAAATAAGAAAAAATTTAAAAAATCTAACATGAAAAATGAATGTTATGTTTAAAAATGAAAATGTGTTTAATAAAATAAGTGAAATGTTTCAAAACCCAAAAATTAATATTACATATATGTTATAAATATTTGATTATGGTCAGCCCGCAAATCGCTTCGATTTTCTAAATACAATTAAAATACAATTAAAATCAATGTATTTTATACGCTTTTAGATTATTTCTAATTTTTTGTGTGAATTTACGTAAATATTCACCTGAGGGCGCTGAGGACCCCAGGACCGGCCCTGTATATATATATATATATATATATATATATATATATATATGTTGTATATTTTTTTTATGTATATGTATTTATTTAGACATTTAAAATAAAGTTTATAAAAAAAGACATGCCATAGATTAAAGAAGAGTGCAATATATGCTGTGGGATGTTGATATATTTGTATAAATATATTTTAGATTTGAAATTGGTCAAAAATTTTAGCATAAAAAATTAAAATGGTTTACTATATAATGAATATTAAATGAAAGATATTTATTAATTTTATTTTTTTTCATATAAATTAAGTTCACTGTTATATTGATACAATTAGCAGCTACGTAATTAAAAATTGCACATTAATGATTAATAATTTTTTATTTAATATCTTGTTAATCAAAATTAAAGTGCAGTTTAAGTTAAATTAAACTAACTTTGAGACATTTATGTAATTTCTCATGATATATTAAACCGATAAATTTCTTAGTATTATGGAGAATTCATAAATAAAAGCTACTCAATATTAATTGAAGTGTTTATTAAAATTTAATATATACAATAGTTTCAAAATGTAGACAAAAATTACATTTGTTAACACAGTAAGGTAGTACAAGTCGACAATAAGATTAGAAAGCATAGTGCGTTCTTATGTCTTCCAATTTCTTAGAAACTTCACTAGGATTCCTCTCCAAATCCCCAGCAATACTTTTTTGCTTCGCTGGCTCCAAGGAATTGAATTGCTCACACAAATCTCCATCCAGAACATTCTGAAATAATTGATAGAAGTTTACATAGTTTGCAAAGAAAATTTAAAAACGAAGTTTTAATATCATCTAGTAGTTATCAGATACATTAAAAGCAGAATCATTTCAGATCATAAGTCTAGCATGTGAAGTATTAAACATCATTTGATTTTAAGTTAAGTAAAATTTTTTTAGTTATGATTATAGAAAAATTAATAATTACCTTGACAGGGAAGTAGTAACTTCTAAAACTTAAATGATCTCTTCCACAAAGTGGTGGATTTTCACTTCTCATATGCATTTCAAGATGTTGAAAGAAATCATGATCTTCACGTGAACTAAATGGTACCAGAACTCCCACAGATCCACTGATTGT